GCAGTTTTCGAAACGGTTCGTTGGATGTCTGCCCACGCATCGGGGACCGAACAAAAGAGGCTTTTTACGGGGGTAGGGAAAGGCGACGCGGTCTTTAATAAAAATTGGCTCGGTTTTCTCGCCGTGCCCGATGTGCTTTTCCACGGCCGATTGTATCGCGATTCGCGGGCGTATCGACCGCGCGTAAAACGTACCCCTTCGGATCGTTTCCCTAATTTAAAAGTACACCGTCGGGTATTGTATGGTAGGATGTCACGGCGCGAAAGAGAGAAATTGTACGGGACCGAATAAGTCGGGCGTAGGATGGAATCGGGGTTATTTCGTGACCGTTTGCGCGTAACGGGTTAAGGGCCAAATGGCGGGGGGTCGTTTCATCGAAGAGTAGCGCGGTCACGGTTCCAGAACGGTAGTTTCGTCGAATGGATTCGCGTGAATACAAATCTGCGGTTATCGAATATTATTCTCTCCGTTGGCGCGCGGCCTGTCTGTGTGTGCGCGACTGCCTAGGTACACGGTTAAAAGCGCATCGCGTGAAATAATATAAAATAACAGCGTCGTGGAATACCGTATCCGCGACCATAAATGCGTTTTAACGCGCTCGATTGTACGTCGAAGCCGCGGGCGGGTTGACGCACGACGGCCCGGCTCGCCTCGTCACCATTTATATATTTTATTCCGTCCGTGTGAACGCGAAAGTGCGCATCGACTTTAACTTCTAATTAGTCGATTGTTTGCACGTTCGTCACGAACAGAACCGGGTCCGGCCAGGCTCGCAAAAACAGTTTCGACGCGCGGAGCTCAATATCCTGCGTATACAAACATTTGTGCGCGCCACCGGCAGCCATTTGCCTCTGCTCGATTTTATATCCCGCACTCTCGATCATACACTCGGTCGGAAAAGTCCCTGGATGCCTTACGCTGGCTCGTACGACCGATCGTAAGTCATCGTTGCACCCTGGATGTTTATCCACGCGATACGAGACTCGTCGCTAAGTAAACAGACAAATAACTGTTGCTCGATAAATCTTATTAAATAAATTCTTAATAAATAGAAATCTACGAGGATTTCTACTGTGCAAGCCAACTGTAGCCAACTGTAGCGCCACTCTCGAGTATATCTTTGGAATATTGACTCGTGGATAGCGAGCTGGTGCTCCAAAACAGTGGACCTCTGAAATCCCCAACGATCGTAAGCTTCATCGACTCAAACGTTCGCGAACTTTCGACCTCCTGCTGTTCCTTGACTTCCCATCTCAGGATCGTCTTCGTTATCAATAATCCTAGCAGTTCCCTGATCTCGCGTCTGGTTCGTCGGTGTATCTAACTAACAAACTGAAACCGTATCCCTTCGGAAATATCCACCCTCGCCTAGCCTAGAGCCTTGCTCATTGTTCTGGCACCTAACTCTGGCTACTAATCAATTATCCCAGTAATTATAAGACTCTGATGAGGCTCTTGTAATGAAAACAATATCATGCACGAACGTACAGTAAATTTTTTGGAAATATTTGAGTTACGAAAGAAGTCTATTTATTGAATATTTAGAGAAATACATGTTCCGAATTTTCCACTATCTCGTTCACGTAGTATTAGCATCGAAGCCGGGTTAGAGTTAATAATTTACTGTGTAAATGATTAATTTAACCATTTAACCGATCCTATTTATAGAGAGTGTACGGCGAATCTAACGCGATGCGTTTCATGCGCCACTGACGGTTCCCTGTGTTCAGTTATTCGAATATATTAAATCCGTGCCGTTTCAGCGTGTGTTTCTGCTTATATTAGGCTTATTTAAATATTTACGCGCTAGGTGTAACGTTCCACGTAGCCGGAAACCGAGATTTGAAACGGAGATCCGTCCCTTCGGGCGAAAAGAGCCCAACATTCAGTTAAAAGGAGCATGTAGCCAACCGCTGCTGCGCATACGACTACATTATATTATATTATACGATGGTTGCGATGCTCGATATTAGCCAAAAGATCATTTATTCATCGGTTAAAGCGACATTGAAATTCACAGCAGTTCCCACAAACCAAAGGCCATTTCGTTACGGTTTTGTCGTCGTATAACGGGAATTATTGAACTCTGCCTTTAGATTTCTCATTAACGAAATGACCGCTTGCTCGCTCTTAGAGCAAATGAAATGTGCTACGTCGCGTAGTTTGAAGTACGCCGCTGCTCGTAAAAGCGAATCGTGCTCGTTATTGCGGTAAATATGAAGCTGGCTAGTTATCGGTGAAAATTACGAAACGTGTTCCTTTTCGTTGTGGCGGGGAACGTGCTGGTCTTCCCAGAGCAAACGAAACGCGTCGATGGATTCCCTTTGCTGTATAAAACATCAGGCGGCCGTGAACGTTCCCGCGAGTCCTCCGAATAATTTCCCGACGTTCTATCAGATTTCTTTAATCGTTTATCGACGAGTGTCGCGGCACTTATGAACGCGAGTGTACACATCCGTCGAAAACAAATTGCGTCAGGGAAGTTATTTCGCGAATCGACCCGGATGTTTTTTTTAGCTCGGTTTATGCCCGCGGTGTTTGCCGCTATTTTTCATTCTTGTCGATATAAACGGTCGAAACTTGGAGGTCGATTAATAGCCCCGGGTAGCTGCGAGCCAGCTTGACGCTGTGTCTTATTTCGCGTTTGCTCGTGATGTTTGAACTGTTGCTCCGGGCGACTAACGGAATCGGAACTTCGGCCCGCGAATTTATTATTCGGAGATTTACGAGCGTAACGCTCAGCCCGCCTTTTGTTCGCGGTAATTCCCCTTCCGGCTGTAATTAACAGGATTACATTGTTTGGGGGAATTTCGGAGCGCAAGTTTATTTAAACCCGTTAACGCAAAGTGCGTTACGAACAGGGATATTCAAAGGTCGCGATTCAATTACGCGTTTTTTACGCTCGATGTCTTAGACGCGCCGACGTACACCGGGGTATCTATTAATCTTGACGGTTTCTAGGTTAATTGTACTCTTGATAATGCCGCCTCCGTGTTCATTAATCCTATAGTTGTACCAGCGTTTTAACTGTTTTCGATGGGTTTTTGTCGGCGGACTTTGCATCGCGCCGGAGGTAAATAAACTTTCGAAATTTTCCCGAGGGTTTTGCCGTTGTTGCCGCACAAAAAGCGGAAACCGACGGCCGCCGCTGTCGAAGTACCCGCGAACTTTGCGCGAGCGTACCTTTTTTTCTAACCGGTTCCGTTTTATCCCGTGCATTCAAGAATTTCGAATACTCCGAACAGGGGAAGACGCGACATCGGCACGGGGAAAGAAATCGGGAGAAAAGTGCTGAGAACGGATGTCAAGACGTCTGAACCGGCGACTTTTAAGCTCGACATTAAAAATACAAACTAGACTTAAAGAGGTTTCGTCGTGTTTCGAACGAAAGAAATTTTCTTTTGTGCTCTCTTGAAAAATATTTATTGTACTGTAGTTGATTCGAGAGTTAAGATGGCCAAGTATCTATCGAAGGCACTCAAATGTCTGAACAGATCGGAGGATTTGAAAGAAAATACTGGAAAGTTAGGAGGAAACGGGGCAGGAAAATTGACGGACGTAGTTACTTCGGATCTCCCAAGGTATTATAGAATAACCATCCCAAGGAATCATCGTTCGCTCGTAGATAGGAGAAGAGAAATATAGACTGCTTATTGTCAGACAAATGTTACGAATGGAAACGCAACGTACTTACTGTTCGATGAAGCTCTGTACGTCCAATTATTTCAAAGTGTATGCAATCTTCCATCGTTTCACGTTTCAAACGCCGCGAAGAAGACTCGATTTCCATTTGCCAATTCGGTAAAAATTGTTGGACGTCTACGGAGCGAAACTTTCTTTCCCTGTTTTGTTTATCTCGCCAAGTTCTGGCGGAAACTTGGACCCAAACTCGAGGCACAGTTTTTCGGTGACTAGGACAGACGATCGATTTTCAAATCTCGTGACATTTTCGTTCCATTAAAAAGGCAACGAAGCTCGGGTTTCGATGGTACGTTTGCCTTTGAATCTCAATATTTCGAATTTAAATTGTCTTCGCGAGAGAATAGAATTACGCGAACAAAGTCTCCCGCAGCGGTTTCGATATGATTTCCATGCTTCTCTACTAATTATTTAACCGGAGATTGGCAAACGCGCGGAATTTCGTTGCTCTGCCGCGGATCTTGAAATATTCTTGTGTAGAGGTTTTCCCCGACTTTCCTCTTGGCTCCATTTCAATAGAACTAACTCTTCGACGTTCGCAAACAGAGTCGAACGCTTCCCGTTAATGCACGCGGGCGGCAAGAAACGTATCCGGCGAACCGGTGTCGTTGCATTCGCGTTATCGTGTCGCGAAGTTTAAAGTTCGAGAAGTCGGGGGTGCCTTTTCGGGTGCATCGACCGAACGACCGAAACGCGGCCGGGTTAATTCGCATGAAATTGAAGGCCTTCGCGGGTGGAAAAAGCTCGTGAATAAATAGGAGCGTCGACGTTTGTCCGCCACACGAGTTAATCATTCGGTACGGAATGGCGTTTAATTTCATCTCGTTAACCGGCACGGAAGCTTAATGAATTGTGTCCCTGTCGGAGAACTTCCGAGAAGCTTTCTCGTGTCCGACGAGTCCTCGCCAGACGGACAAAGTTTCGGTTTATTTCCACCTGGTGAATGAATACGATGGCCTTTTCGGCGGAAAACTGTTGGAAAGTTAGTCTCGAGGAAGGAACGAAGAGACCCGAGGGTGGCTGGGGATCGGGGTTCGGCGCAAAGGAGAAACAGAGGCGGGGGGGTGGAAGAGCGCGCAAAAAGACGCGAGACAGTGACATCTGCCACAACCATCCACGCGACCCATTTATTTTCACGAGATTACCGAAATCTCGAATTCCCTTATCGGACCGTGAACCCGTGAACTCGTTTACGCCCCGCGCGCCGGCTAATTAACGTCCCCCCCCCCGCCCCCTGCACCCACCGCGCCAGCTCTTCCCTTTCTGCCCTTCTTTCCGCGCGTAACATTTAAATCCCTTACCTTGTACTTTCCCAGATTCCGGATCGTGCACGGCAGAATGGCTTCTTTGCCGATGGCTGCGGTCACATTACCGATCGGCTTCGTGAAACTGGGCAGATCTGCAAAAACCGGCGATTTCGGTGAGTACGACTTGTTCCCGGAATGAATGGGAATAGTTGTACCGTATGGAACAGCTATTCTTTACGAATTTCGCTCGTTACATTAACAGAAATACTTTTTTAATGTCTTCGTAATAACGTTCTTAAAAGATTTATATTGGAATTGCGTGAAAAAGCAGTACACTTTGTAAGTAAAAATGAAACTTTATTCTGTGGTTTGCAAGGACGTCTTTACTCTGTTAAAAGAAAATCTGGCGTCCACTTAAAATGGAAAGAAACCATTGCCTGCATCATGTTTATTTCCCTGACCCTCGACGACAAAACAGACCCGATGGTCCCAATACGGTCTTCGTATGCAGACAATGGACAGTGTTTCTCACTGTTAGATTCAGTTTTGTAATGATTATTTATTAATAATTCAACAATTTATTATGATATGAAATTCCAAACGCGAGAACGTTATTCAAACATACAGAAAAGATCCAAGGCCCTAAAAGGGGCAATTGATCGTATTTTTCAAACGATTCGTTGTTGCACTCCCAACACACAGACACGGTATTTGCGCAACCGCGTCCTAAAAAAGAAAACAAAACGAATGGAAACGTCAAACCGCAAAATCTTTGACGTGTTTCGAATGTTTTGATCGCTGCTGCGCGCGACACGCGCGTTTCTCTCGTAGAATGTATTTGTTTATTCGTTAAGCGTGCGAGTTGCTCCATTTATACGCGTTGTGCATTATAATTAACGGCTTGCATAGAGAAACGCGTCTGAAAGGGAAACGGGGAACAGAGGGGTAAAAACTGTGCATACAAAAATCAGGTTGCTCGGCGGGAACGAATCAACATTAAATTACTCTATTGAACTGCGTTAATGAGATCGAGTTTAATTTAGGTAACACGAAAAATTGTGCGTCGTGGAAAAGTGTTTTTGCGCGCGAAAGCATTTTCGAGATGGGGGTCGTTACGGGCATAATACTCCTGTTTCGTGTAGACTTTTTCGAGTAACGTGATACGTTTATATTATAATGAAATTTCATAGCAAAGGAGGGTAGATTATTTTTCAAAAGTTTCATCCACAGAATTATCAGATTTTAAATGGAATTATTATCGTGCCTCGACGCTTACGGTCAACAAATTATTATTGTCACGTTGTTAATGGCGATGTTTGAACTTTGACCGCGACCCAGAATGCGTGGAAAGTCGGCGAAACGAGAGCATGCTCGCGATTAGGTTTCCCTTAGAGTTTAAATCGAACGTATTTACCATCGGTGCCGCAGATTTATGAACGGAGCACGGCGGGGCGAGGGGGGTGAAATCGGGGGCGGGTGTAGCGAGCCGTAGCGCGCGTATATTTTGCGTGCGCCCTGAAAAATATTTCACATCGCTTACAACGGGTGCGGATTCGATAGCCGTGATTCGTTACCCTCGTTAAAGCGTACGTGACGGTGCAATGACAGCGATTAACAGCTTGTTGGCGCGCATAATATCGAACGATCGGGAATGAAGCATAGTTTCAATTTCCTGTCAACGGATGCACTGTCACTGGCTAATGGCCAAAGATGATGCCGCGTGCTCCGTCGAGCCGCTGAATCGTGAAACCGGAGAAAGGATTTTGTCCTGACGGGAAAAGAAAAACAACCGTCGGTTATTGGAAAAACCGTGAAAAGGTGTAGAATGTTTGTTATGCCGGAGTATGGAAGTCTGCAAGACCGTAAAATACGATGGCCTTTGAGGATGCACTGGGTTTTAGATCGCATAACGACGGTCTTTCCTCTCATCTTCGCGAACAAATATTTTACCGCGAGATCAGATTTTAAATGGAATTATTATTTGATTCGTATTTACCGCGCGGCAAATGTAAATACCACGCAATATGCAGTAATCTGAATATCAGGATTAGACCGGGGATTTTGTTGCTAATTCGAAATATATATTAACATTATAATATTAATATTTCAATTTGCATAAGTGCGTGTGTCTCGCTGTATATTACTTGGTGCATGTGTATCGTATTCGTGTACGCCATAAATGCATAAAATCTGCAGCCTGATTACGATATAATTAATCGTAGAGTACTCCGGTGGGTCTGACAGTCTCCAGACAATAAATATTGCTTCATAACTAGCGAACGCATTGCAAACGTGACGCGGGTTCTTGTATGTCTGTCTAGTAACTCACTGTGAATGTGTTAATGCATCGCCTGAGTGACTTCTAAGACAGTCTATCGCGTTTTAATTATGATAAATCAGGAACGTTTCGGAATTAGGAGAATCGAGCTACACGGGGCGTTGTAGTATATTTTCCATATACTAGTAACCATCGACTGTCTTGATCCAGAACCGATCAACGCGAGGATTACCATTGAAAATACCTCCCGGGGAATAATATTAGTTCGAGAGACGCGAAAGAACAGCGACGAGGCGCGAGGCATACCCGACATAATAAAATAACGAAAAGTTTGTCGAGAGAATCGCGCGAATTCCAAAGTGTCTCGGCAGTTTGGTGCGTGGTTCGTGGAACTTTCGCTGCGAAACGGTTCGAAAAAGTTTCGATATTCCGAGTAACGAAAAAGGGAGCGAAGAACGGTGATCTTGGATAGGGTTTGGGTGTGGACGGGGAACGAACGCAGGGATGATCGGTTAGATAGAGCGAACAGTTCGAAGAGAATGAAGTCGATGGGATCGGAGAACGGGCCACATGGCGCGATATCGGCCACCTAACGAGTGAAAGTTTCGAAATAGAGCGTCGGCGCGGAGCGGTACGGGACCGGAAGTCGAGCCCGACGCGTCGTTGCATCGGTGTGCATCGAACGGAAAAAACGCGGGACTGCAGCTGCGTCGACGAGCGGCGATATTCGTAGATAGCGGCTCGTAACTGCTTATGGAAGCTCGAGAGAGCGCCGGTGAGTTACCGGAGGATTTGTTATTCGAGAAGAAAGGGTTGAGAAAGGGGGAAAATCAGGAAAACTGCGAACGGTGGAGGGAGAGTGGGGAGGGTGAGGGTGGTCTCTGGGCCCGGTGGACCCGAGGGAACAGCATCGTCGCTATTATGATAAGATATTCACTGACAGGAACAGGAGAGGGTAGGAATTTTCAGCTCGCATCGTCCTCCTCGCGGCCGTATCTAGAATGTAATATAAGGAAACGCGGAGGAAAATAGCGAAGGCAGCGAGCCTGAGTGCCCATACGAACGACGAACGGCGGAGTACGAAGGGTGGAGGGCGCCGGCGACTGGCTGGAGGAAAAGGGAAGAAAGAGGAACCGGGGAAACTGGCAGAGACTGGAGGAAACGGAACCAACCGTCGGGGGTAGAAGAGAGGAGCGCCGGATCGTTTCGTTTCCCTCGGAGTCGGAGGCGTGGGTGCGCCTACACCCGCGCCTCTGCCGACGCCGACGCTTTTATTTTATGGCAAAATTATTCCGAGAGAAAAATAATTCAATCTCTGCCGGTGTACAGGGTACCGTACCGTCTCCTGCCAACCGGAGTGCCAGTTAGTCGCGCTCGGACGATCCGATGCGCCGCCAACCAAATTTCACTTTGGACCATCGAATGGACGCACAGACGTTCCTCGCTAAGCAAACGCTATGACAAGGGCAACGAAGACATTTCGTTCGAATTCGCTTACGATCGTGTCTGCAAATAAAAAAGAAGGCGGGGGTTGTCGTTATAGGAAAAGTGAAAAATGATTAAAATTTTTAAAGCGCTCTTCGAGTTTCTCCACCGGACGAGTAATTTTAAGGCATCGGGTTGGAAAATCTTGGCTCGCCGCGCATCCTCGACCGTCGAAAATATTTTCCGATCTCGTTTCGCTAATAATACGCTCTCCGAAATGACGAAGTGCGCTTAAGGACATTTTCGAGAGCGGCGAGTCGGCGATCCCGCATGGCGAGACCAGATAAACGCAACGGAATAAAATGAATGGAGAGACGGAACGAGCCACTCGGCTCCGATTTTTAGCGTAAATACACGCGTGCGTGAGCGCCGCCCATATTTTCATATTTTTTTCGAGTACGAGAGTAGCGGTCCGAGCCGAACGCGTACGGATCGATGCGAGGATATTCGTAAATAAAAGGAGAATAGAAACGAGACGCGAACGAACGTCCGGATTCGTTCGACGATAATATCCCTGGAAACGTTTCAACCGCGGCTGTAAGTTCCGAAAATTTGCCCGTGTTATTTCGAAACGGTGGTAAATGTGCTAAGGTTAAATCGGCTCGTGCACCAGCCACGGGGGGACAATATATCGCGAGACGTATTTTTCGAAGATCTTGCGGACGGGACATTCCACGTCGTATCGATCACTTTTTCCGCCCGGTGTCAGGGATTTCGATGGGATTGAAATACGGTCCAACCCGCGTAGAATTAAAGACGGTTTAAGTCATCGTTTCCCAGATTTCGAATTTATTTACGTTAACCTTTTATTTGCGGCGTCGCTTCGAACAGAGGAATTCTCGTGGCTGATGGTATTTTCCCGCGTAATTGAAGACTTTCCGTACAACAATTAAATTTCAGATTGATCGGCGCGATACCCTTTTAAATGACCATGCACAGCGTGTAACAAAATATCGTTCCGGGGAACTATGGCATAAAAATTTCAACCCGCGTTGTTGGAACATACAAACAGTTCGTTTTAAACTCCTATAACGTTACACATTTTTCGTAAGAATATCCCAGTTAGCAGCCACCTGCTCGCTAATTTGACTGTGCCCTCTCCAAATTCCGTGGATTATTTAAACAAATTACACAACATTTTTCTCCGCCGCGCCAAATTGATTTAAACTTTTGAAAGCCGTATGGATTTGAAACGTTTTCCAGACTGAAACCATGTTTGCGTTCTGGGGTCGTGAAAGAATCTTCGTGGAGATTTAATGATCCTCGGTATAGTCCAAATATTGACGAGCTAGTGCTTTTAATGCAGCTGGTATAATCAAAGTGTTTACACGTGTCTGTATGCGTCGAACGTGGTGTACCACAAAGAGGGATATTTCCCCGATTGTTTGG